GCGAAGCCTTGTGGAATGTACAAATGAGCCTTGTTCGTAACACAATTGCAAATAAAAGTGCAATTTGATTCGCAGGTTGGTTACAAATCATCGTTAAAGGCCAGTCAAAGCATATCGGACCTGAGCAGCCACATACCGGAGAAACATCATCGTTCGAGTAGATTGAGCACAGGTAACAAATCCGGTCAGCAAGCCCAGTACTCGAAACCGATTAACCTCTGTAAACCCATACCGAATCCAAAGCCCCAGTTAAAACCTCAACAGCTCGCTAACAAAATATCGAGTGTGGTGGGTAATGCGCTACCTAAGCTAGATATCTCGACTGAACGTTGCTTATCCAAAAGTCCGACTACGTCGTGCATTAGTGACAAGACAAAGCCGTCTCTCAGCCGGCCGTTAACGTTAACCTTAAAGAAAACTGAAAAGTATAAGCTATCGCTGAACAAACCGAATCAATCGTTGCCCGAGTCGCCGGTCTGCGAGGAGCTGAAGCTCCTGAAGGAACAGTGTAGGAAGAACGTTAGCCGGTTCGCGAGGTTCGCGCAGAAGAGAAGGTCGTGCAGCTATTTCATCGGGCTGGACGACAACGAGGAGGATATGGAGAACATAGCCAAGTCTTTCGAGAGTTTGCCGGCCATGAACGAGCGGAACATTGAGAGTCTGAACGATCCGATGGACGACGGCGGTGACGAAGGGAACGGGAACTTCAGCGACGATTCTCTAGAGGGTGACTTCAAGAATCCACCCCGACGATGCGTCAGCGACTATCAGATAAACGTGCACGTTGATCATCAACAAGGCACTCAGCAGAGGAGCTTCGCGACGTATCAGGCCACCTTCCCATCCAAGCGGATTCTCACCGGTTCTCAAGAAAGTATCCTCTCCGACGCCTCGGTCGAGTCCTTCTCGAAGGGAAGCGCCGAAATTTTAGACTACAGCCACTACGACAACGACAGGCATTCGAGCGCGAGTTTCTTCCTGTCTCGTCGGAAGATGCAGGCCGGTCGCAGCCACGAGAGCATTCTGACGGACGAGTCTGACTATCAGATGTTCCCGCTGCACGAGAACATCGATCATCGGAGCACCGAGAGCGTGCTAACGGACGACTCGGACTCCCTGGTGAAGTCCGCGCCGCTTGAGATGCTGTTCGATTCCCACTACAAGCGAAAGAGGCAGAACTCGGAGACGTACAGCGGCAATCCGAATAACGCGGCGATGCAGTCGAGCAACGCCGACGAGAACCCGGACAACGACCTGACCTCTTGTCGGGCGGTATTCAGATCGAAGTCGCTGCAGGACACTCGAATAAGCCAGGCGAGGAACGAGAAGAACAGCTACTGCTCGGAGAGTAACGCGCAGCCGGCCACGTGCATCTACTACGAGTTCAACTTCAACGATCAGAACGACGGTGGGAACGTGGAGATGCGAATCGGAACGAAATCGGACACGATGTCGCGAAGCAACAGCCTGAAGGTGCCGAAGGAGCCACAGTCGATGCTGATCCTGAACGATTTCGTGGCACACAAGCCGCCGAAGCCGAAACGGAACTCCGCTCGGACGCAGAGCATGCGAAACAGGGCACGGCCCGCGTGGAACAAGTACGTGGACTCGTCGAGCACGCCTCGCGTCAAGTCCGATCTGGACGAGCGAGCAGCAGCGAGAACCCACACTGATGAAACGAAGCCCGACAACGGTAACGAATCTCTGCACGCCTCGAAAGGGCGGATCGAGCAACTGTTACAGTCGTCCGGTTACTCACTGCAGCCGAGCGACGACAAGGATTTGAAAAACAAGTTTTACAGCCTGCAGGCTCGCCGAAGCTCCGACAAAGGTCCGGCGGCGTACGACGCTGGCGGCCCGATGGACAACTTCGCCTTCGATCCGAGCGATCCCTCGCTTGACCAGGCCAACAGCTATCGAGCGAACGACGAGCAAGCGGACTCCTCCCGCGCGGAGAGGGATCAACGTTGTTGCTTCGAGAATCAAATACCAACGAAAGACACGCAGCAGGAGACGTACGACTCTCTGGAGCCGAACGGTAGCATAATCTGTCACGACTTGCAAGCAGCAACCGGAATGCAAAACACCTCGAATCTACTGACGACGAACGAACGAATCGACAATCTGGACGCGAGCGTCGACCTGAGGATCACCCGAGCCATCGAGGGCACCGTGAAACTGCTCTCCAAGGAGTTCGAGAACTTGGTCAGACGGGAGCAGTACTTCATGAAGGAGAAGTGCCTGCGGATGTCGCATTGCCAGGAAACCGGCGAGAACGTGGCCAAACTGGAGGCAGAGAGGGACAATAGAGGGTTCTGTTCCCTCAGGCGAGACATAAGGTTCCATTCAGGCGGCGAGGACAGCGACTGCGCGGACAAGTCGATGATGGAAAGCGGCTCCTCGACGTCCGCCTCGAGCTGCACGAACTCGCCGAAGAGAATGTGGCCGCCAGCCTCCCGCTGTCACAGCCACATGAAGTGGACTAAAACCCTGCCAACGATTAACCAAGCCATACTACCATCGTCCAAGCATCTGTACGCAGGTACACTCACCAAGCCACCGGAAACAGAAGTTGTTCTATCGTTCTCTACTCGTCTACTCGTTTGTTCTGTATGTAGCACAAACGGTCTTTCTCGTCTTCTCGGATGCTGAGAAACGAGACATTTTTTCGCTGCTCGATTGTCGATCTCGATGCCCAGAGGGAACACGACCGCAATATACACGTAGAAAAGAGAACGAGATTCTTGCGGCGAAAAGCAATGGGAGAGAGAACTCGTAGCAAACGTTCCCGCACGGTCGAGCAAGAAAATCGAGGAACGATTCGTTAAATGTTTGCCTGAACGTGACATGGAAAAACTGTAGAAGTCGTGTAAAATACTGTACGACAACATCCAACAGCACGATTAAGCAACAATTTTTTTTCGTTGCCTCATTTTTCTTTGTATCATACATTTGCATCTCTCATTGTAATTATTTTACGCGCGTATCTCGATTACTTTAGCGGCAAAACGTTATATTCATTGTCGTTCGATCAATGTTTCTCTTTTTATATACAATGAGCCAAAAATCGCTTCCTACTGACATAAATCTGTAATTTTTTGAATGATAATGATAATGAAAAAATTACGTTTGATTAGTTTTCTCTTATATTTTGATGTTTTATTAAAAAAAAAAA